TGCCGATTAATCGGCAAAACCGATACATCGGTCGACCTCTAGTATCTTCATACCTCCACTGCTGTTTCCTTCATGTGTAGAGGCCAGAGCTTGTGCTGCAGAAAGAAAAGGTAAGATTTTCTAATGAGGGATACAGTCAAAATATACTTCAGCTATAACACTAGAAGATGGATACTTAGGATTCCCTAAATCCCATTAAATATTACAGTACTTTGAGGATTATCATCATTCATCAAAAACAACTTTCCTTCTTAGCATCATATCCTGGCTCTAATAAAAAATATACAGTAACAGTGCTTACCTTAATTAAAATTCATCTTCACTGTCTTCATATGCATCCATCTCCCTGCTCTCTGATGCTCCACTCACAGAGTACATGCGACTATTGAAGCGCTGGAACATCTCTTGGCTTGGGGCAAAGTCCTTGCAGCACAAGCCTTGTCTTCTCAGTCCGTATTTTATGTGGAGTATGCTGCTGAGAGTTTCTTGTCCCATTCTGTTCCTCAGTTTGGACTTGACCAGGCTCATCTGTGAGAACACTCGTTCTACGTCAGCATTGCTCAAAGGCATTGCAAACAATGACAGAGAAAAAGAGGGCAAGTTTTTTTAAAAGTGTGGTCTCCACTGCTGTCTTTGTAATTGAGCACTTCAACCCAAAAGGCCTCTGCCTGGCTGTCCTCCTTGTTTGTCCATGGGAGATATGAAACAGCCTGATACTGTGTTTCAAGAGCTGCAAGATCACCAGAGTAGAGCTTCAGCATTGAGACTGAGCTGAGCTGTGGTTTAGTTTGTGACAGGATGATAGTCGGACTGAACACAGTCATAGATTTCCATATCTGGATGTTAGCTGGGAGTCTCTGTTGCACTTGTCTGCCCGCTTCCACCAAGAAGTCACGGCACCTGCTCTTCATATTTCTCTCAGCCGTGCTCTCCATTCTTGCCTCATCCAATGCCATCATGAAGGTGACCCCATAATTGACTGCACCCACGGGTAACAAAACACTGGGGTCTGTTATGTCAATTGCAAGCAGTTGTTCATCTGATGTGGGGATCATTCCAGGTCTCACCACTCTGGAGATGAGGCAGCGAAAGAAATGAAGCAGACACTCCAACATTTTGAATGGATTGCCCGTGTCCTGCTGGAACAGCTTGTTGATCCTGTTGAATTCTTGTAGAAAAGGCATTAAAAACAGCAGGTACAGTTTGTTAACAGGATCACTGTACATCTGGTGCAGGATTTCAGCATCATAACATCTCTGGTGGTCTTTGGTTAGCTGAAAGTGAAGCTTCAGTTCATCCCACTGATTGAGTATGCGCGAACAGCAATCATGGATGGAAAGCCACCGTGTCCCTGACATCTGTACAAGCATCAAAGGGATTTCACCAGGATTGATGAGGCTGTAGATCTTTGCATACTCACGGCGGCGAAGAGCACTGTGGGAAAACCAGTTGTGAGAATGAGAGACTAAGTATTCAAGGTTGCGTGGGAGGGTCTCCACTGCCTTGCTTACACACAGCTGTATGGAATGGCACACGCACTTGAGCAGCTGGAGATTTGGGTTTTTCTGGAGAAGGTGAGTGTACACTGAATTCCTCTTCCCTACCATGACACTGCAGCCATCTGTACCTAATCCAATGCACTTTTTGATGTCCAGTTCAATACTCTGTAGAAAACGGGTCAGAGTGGAGGCAATAGCCTCTGCTGTTTCACCCTCCAAGTTTATTAAACCCAAAAAGGTGGACACAATTTTGTTCAGTGTCATACTGAAATAGCGGATTACCACACAGAGTTGCTTGACAGATGAAATGTCTGTGCTTTCATCAATAACAAGGGAGTATTCAGCACCTCCAATATCCCTCTGAAGGTCTTTAAACATACACGGAGCAATGGCATGGTTAATTAATGCCGTGCATTTTGTCCGGTGCATTTTGATGTCTTTGTCACAAGTTGAGCACATTAACTCCCCAAGGTGATCGACTGATTTAATGGATGTGTGACAAGCTACATAGGTGGCTACCTTCAGCTCAGCTCTCTGTCTCGATTCGTTCTGTTTGGAGACCGCAAACCCAATGTCCGTAAGCCTCATTGAGGAGAACGGTGCTGCATTTTTTTTATGTTTGTCTGTGCTAGCATGTTGTACGAGGTCCGCGTGGTGTGCACGTATTTCACACTTACATACTCTGCACAGTGCTTTTGAGTCATCCCCCGCGACGGGTTGAATCCATTCTTTTACTCCTTTCTCTTTCTCCCAGTCTTTGTTATATCTCTTGCCGTATTTCGCCCACTTTGTCCCGGGCATTTGTTCTTCCAAAAAAACATTCCTACATTCCAGTCAGTCACCATCAGTCACAACTCGCGTGCATTCATTTAAACTTTAAATCACTCACTCACTGACGTTTTCCTAACCAGAAAAGAGATTGCCCTGCCCTGCCTATGATTGGCTAGTACTCGTTGCCATCTGGGTCAGAGCCAATTAGAAGCAGGATGCGGGTGGGAAAAAACTGCTGTCTCCTGTGTGTATGGGGAAAGGGGAGGGGGGGAGGGACAGAGGGAACAGTCTAGACAAACTCCTACGTTTAAATCGTTTATATCTGTCTATGGTTTAAATAACATTAGAAAATATCTGCTTGATAACTTATTATGGAGCTGGGATCAAGCCCAAATAAGCAACTACACTTTAGAAAGAAAAAAAACGCGACCCGCGACTATCAATATTTGTAAGCGACTTTACAAAAAAACAAGCCCAAAGTCGCTTATAATAAGCGGACTTGGCAACACTGAACACCAACTAACCGGACAACCATGCCTTTTAATAACCGGATGTCTGAAGACCCGGATGTCTTAATTAAACTAAAAAGCTGCACCGGTAGAGAGCCACACCCCCGTGATCTAAATTTGCATGCGACCAACAGGGGAGCGACAACTCGCCTCAACGTACTACCGGTCACACTATGTTAGAATAATGCCATGGGAATATTATTTTTAAGGGCTAAAAACATCAAACGTGTCTGCTAAGCATATCACAGCGGACATGCACGGAAGTTCGCACCTGCCGGAGGAAACATGGGGGTAGAATCAAACAGGCCACTGGCTTTGATATAGACTGGTCATCCGTTCACAAGTTATTAAACATGGGGTAGAATCATCCGCTCCCAGGCTATTAGACATATGGTGTAGTCATAAACCGTCGCAGATGTTTACACGAAACCATGCATTAAACAAAGAATAAATGATTCGTAAGACACCCCATTTCAAAATGGTAGCAACAAACGGAGCGCACGCTATTTCAAATAAGTCCCCTTAACCATGACGTTTTTTAAAGTAATGAAGCACTTTTCTGCCAATTTGAATAATAAAGTGCCCTAAACATTTTCAACAACAAGAATCAAGGAATAACGCCGGTAATCCTTGTTAAAATGAGCGTACGACATTAACCCAGAAGCGGGGATGGTTAAAATTAAGCCACCATGCCACTAGTTTTAAACTAGAAATAATTCTCTTTAACATGAACGTGTTGTCGCTGACTCCGGGGAGTAGGTCCGTATAGGAACTATAGTAAGCAGCATCAAAAACATATTTTAAAACTTTGACAGAATAAAGCATTAGTTATTTTAATAAACACGGTTTTTCAGTAAATATTTGTTCACGCGCACGCGTACAATCAAACGTACGGGGGTCAGGGCTTTAGAGTTTAACTTCAGGTCTTTGAAATCAGGCATAATTATTTGTCAGGAGAACGACGTGTATGCAGACCCAAAGCACACTAACTTAGGCATTCACGCAACTTATCGCGAAAAACCAGATAGAAATAGACCAGGCAGGTCCTTACCCTGGGTGCTTTGCCCAGGCAGTTCCCCAGAGCTGGGGAGCTGAGCGGCCAAAGCCACTTTAAGCTCAGTCTTGCGCTTCGGAGGAGTAGTCTTTAGCTGTGCGGCCGAGGCTGGAGCCTTTGCTGTCTTTCTGAAGACCGGGATGGTGGCAGGTGGTGAGTCGGGGGGCGGTTCCCAGGCGGGGCAGCCAAACTGCCGCTCTCTCCCTCAGCAGTCGTAGGTTTTCACCCACCTCCACTAGCTGCTGCTCCTCACCAGTACGGAACCTCCTGTCCAGGAGTTCCCAACACCTGTCAATCAGCCGGTGGGCTACTGGATCCTCCCAGAGATCGAGCAGGTTCGTCCACCGGATAACCTCTTCTACCATGGGGAGAACCTCCCCAGTAGCGCTGAGCTTGTTGTAGAGACTTGTCATTCTGTCACGATCGGGAACAGGCGAATTGGCAAGCAGAGGAGAGGAGCCAGGAAGTCAGGTAAAATGGGGATTTATTTAAGCAACAGGACCAGGGAAGCACGACGGCAAACATTACTGACAAGTCTGGGGAAGACAGACTCAGACGAGGACTAAATACACAAGACTAGGCATACGGAACAGGCAACAGGTGAGTACAAGCAGGGATTAAAACGAGGTAACGAGGTGGGCGTGGCACACACAAGGATCGTACGGAGCTGGGCGTGACAATGATAATACAATTATATACACATGTTCATACATACATATATACTTGTATATACATACATAAAATTTTCTTTAAAAAATATTATATCCTACTGAAGCTATACCACTTGGAGAGGTAATTTTCTCATTAAACATAATATTTTCAAATGGTGATGCTATTGTGATTTTGGGAAATGTTTTAGGAGTAATTTCTTTAATCCAGTGTCTAACTTGTAAGAATTAAAAAAAATATATTTCTTGGGATTCCATATGTCTGGGATAATAATTCAAAACTTATTAAAGAGTCGTTGACATATAATTTTTCCAACATATTTACCCCTTTATGTACCCATGCTTTGAGGGTTCCATCAATAATGCCTGGGGGCACGACGGGGTTCTCTAACAATGGTAAATTTCTAAGTGGGATGTTGTCAAGACCACATATTTTATGTGATTCCACCCAAGTAGCATAAGTATTAATGGGTTCCTAGTGAATGTAGACAATCTTTTTTTTGATTCAAAAAACGGAATAGTCTTTAATGAAATAGCACTCATCTCCCATTGTTCTATTGGTAAGCATCTAACATTAACCTTATCAGGGTGTAACCAAATCCATATAGGCCGAAGTTAATAATTGACACTTTTTATTAATCCCCGTGGGGAAATTCTTTTTACGCCTCCCTCAACTTGCTCTTTGTAGAGCAAGCTGTCCCTCAACTTGCTCTTTGTAGAGCCACACGCTGCCAGGTTGTGAAGCTAGGTAATAATGTCTAAAGTTAGGAAGTTTCAATCCCCCTTTCTTATACGGTGCTTGAAGCTTAAGGAGTTTTACTCTAGGGGTTTTGCCTTTCCAAAGGAAACCTGATAAAACTTTATGTAATTCTTTAAAATAAGATTTTGGAATATTCAAAGGGAGGCACTGGAACTTATACATATATTTAGGTAAGATATTAATTTTGATGACATTGATTCTGCCTATCAATGATATTGGTAGGTCCTTCCATCTCAGCATATCTTCTTTCACTCTGTCTAGGAGTGTGTAGTTATTTTTTTTTTTAAATACCTCGTTAAATGTTGATTCAATATGAATTCCTAAGTATTTAAACCCGTTATTGCATATTGATAATGGTTTAATTATATGTTTTTCTTGTTCTGATATATTAATGGGAAAAGCCATACTTTTATCGTAATTCAGTTTGTAACCAGATGTATTACTATAATCTTTAAATATTTTTAATAGAGGGCGAATAGAGAGTTGCGGATTGGTCATATATATCAACAAATCGTCCGCATATAAAGATATTTTGTGATTATTAGTACTGATTTCAACTCCTTTTATTCCATGGTGAAATCTTACTGCTACAGCGAGAGGTTCAATGGCCAAGGCAAATAATAAAGGAGAAATAGGACAACCTTGTCGACATCCTCTAGATAAAGTGAAGGTATTAGACATAATATTATTAGTAAGGATTTGTGCTTTAGGGAAGTTTCAGGTATCCAGTAAACCTAGACCCAAAGCCCATATTATCTAGTGTTTCAAAAAGAAAGGTAGGCTCAATTCTGTCAAAGGCTTTTTCGGCATCCATGGACAATATAAACATTGACAATTTCTTCTTTTGAGCAATATTAATTATATGTAATAGTCTTCTGACATTATCCGCACCTAGTCTGTTCTTAATAAATCCTGTCTGATCTGAGTGTATTACTTTGGGTATAACAGTTTCCAATCTTGAGGCAAGTAATTTGGTCAAAATTTCATAGTCAGCATTGAGAAGACTTAACGGCCTATATGCTCCTAACTTGTGTCTATCTTTACTTGGTTTAGGGAGTAGTGTTATTGTAGCCAATTCCAGAGAGTGAGGAAGTGAACCTCTATCAAGTGATTCTTTAATCATGTTTGTTAAAGGCGTTAACAGTAGTTTTAAAAAAGACTTGTAGTACTCCACTGGAAAGCCGTCTGGGCCAGGGGCCTTGTTATTTTCCAGGTCATTAATGGCTTTGAGTACCTCTTTCTCAGTAATGTCAGAATTTAATAATTCATTATCCTCATCATCAATCTTAGGTAATTGTAATTTATTTAGAAAAAATTTAGCTTCAATATTTCCACAATTATGATCTATCATATAATTCTTCATAGAAATTCTTGAATAAAGTATTAATCTCTCTCGGATCTTTAATATAATTTCCATCATTTAATTGAATCGAATGTATATATCGGTCCAATTCTCTTTCTTAATTTGCCATGACAGTAATCTGCTACTTTTGTCTCCAAATTCATAATAGTGGTATTTTGTTCTCGCCATATTAGATTTGATCTTTTGAGTGCACAAGTTGTTATATAGGATCCGTTTTTGAGTGAGTTGTGTCAAGGTTTTTTCATTATTTGACATTGAATGCTCTAGTTCCAATGTTCTTATTTCATTTCCTAGTTCCCTTAGTCTTGCTCTTTTTTCTTTTATTTTATAAGCCCCATATGGTAGGATATGACCTCTCATAAATGCTTTAAGTGCTTCCCATATAATGGAATGAGAGGCTGAGTTAGCATTAGTTTCCAAAAAAAAATTTATTTGGGTGGTCATAAACTGAATAAAATTTGGATCCTTAAGCAGTAAGATCTAAACCTCCAGTTTTTAGATTGAGGTGTAATCGTTGTTGGTTCCCATATAAGCTTAGCAGGATTATGATCAGAGATGGAAGCAGAAAGGTAGGTACAGTCCTTCATTTGATGTTCTATTGTCTGTGACACTAAGAAAAAATCTATTCTTGAGTAAACTTTATGTACATTTGAATAGAATGAATAATCAAGTTGGTCTGGGTGAAGGGTACGCCATATGTCACGCAGCCCTAAATCAGACATTCCTTGATTTAAGATGGTAGATGCTTTAAGCTTGGAATTTTTTTTTGAGGATGCATCTTTTGTAGGATCTAGAACTAAATTAAAGTCGCCTCCAATAATATAGTTGCCCTTAATAGTTGCTAATCGTAATATCAGTTTGCTGTAAAAGGTTGGATCGTCATGGTTTGGTCCATAGAGATTTACTAAGGTTATATATTCCCCATTTATCTCACATTCAACAATTATATATCTTCCAGAGTGGTCAGAATATTTGTTAATTAGGTTAAATCATAGCTTTTTCTGTATTAACAAAGCTACGCCCCTCCCGCTGGATGAAAATGATGAGTAAAATACCTGACCCACCCACTCTCTCCTGAGTCTTTTATGTTCTTGATCAGTGAGATGTGTCTCCTGTATAAATGCTATATCGGTGTTAATCCTTTTCAAGTATGATAATATTTTTCCCCTTTTGATTGGATCATTTATACCCCTGACATTCCATGATACACAATTTAAAGAGTTAGTCATTTAAGTTGGGCCCTGCGATATGAGAGATAGGATCCCAACTGCACACACAATAATTTACTGCTATCTTTACACAATGTAAAAGGGACATTTTGTTGCACAAAGGCAATGTAGAAGACTTTAAATCCACCAATATGAGAGGGAAAGCAAAAGAGATAGAAGAAAAAATATAAATATATAAAAAATAAAAGAAAAATCGAGAGAAAAAAATAAAAAGGAAAGATAAATAACAAATAAAAATAAAAAAAGGGATAATAAAAGGAAAAAACCTTACAACTACCTCTATACTACCGAACTTGTAGCTATCGCTAACAATCTATAAAACATCTCAATAACTTTGCCTTCAAAAGTGAGTGAGCAACCAGTAAGAGCATATAAGTCACACAATAGTGTACACATTTAGGTACACAGTATTAAAGCATAAATAAGGTAACAAATAAAGTGTCATTATTTAAATGAGGTTCAAGAGATCTATTGTAGCTGAGTTTTCATTCGAGAGGAGATGCCTCGGTATCCTTACCAAAAGAGTCAATAAAGTCTTTAACCTCCGATGGTGTAGAGAAGATCTTGACTTTACCCTTGTGTGTAATCCGGAGTTTGGAGGGATATATGAATGAGTATTCGATGTCGCGATCTCTCAGAGCCCATTTAACCTCCGTGTAGGCCTTTCGTGCATTTTGGAGCTCCGCGCTAAAATCCGGGAAGAAATGGATGCGTCGATTGTCGAAGTAGATTTCCTTTTGCTCTCTTGCGAGTTGAAGGATTTTCCGTCTCTCTCTAAAGTTGAGGAGTTTCACCACAATCACCCTCGGAGTCGCTCTGTTCAGCAAAATGTTTCCCGTTCTGTGCGCTCTCTCCATTATAGGAGGAGAAGGGAAGTTTTCTGCGCCGAGGGTTTCAGGTATGATGCGCTCTAGAAGCAAAACCATATTGCCTCCTTCAGATTTTTCAGGCAGATTAATGATACGGATGTTAGATCTTCTGCTTCTGTTCTCAAGGTCTTGGACTTTGTCTTTTAAATAAGAAACATCTTTCTCCAAGCGACTGATTGTTGAACGAGTGTCTCTTAGGTCATCTTCTGTCGTACTTTGGTTTCAACCTCGACCATCTGCTCGGATAACGTGGACATAGAAGTTTCACTGCGAGCCTACTAGGGCTGGGCGATATGGCAAAAATGTAATCTCGATAATTTTTCCCCATATTGAACGGTAACGATATATATTTC